AGCCCTCGTGTAGCTTTGCGCGAAATTCAAAACAAACCAAACCAATTGTTGAATTTCAATGACACTTCGAGCGTGTCCTAGTAGTTAGCGTGCCATGTTGTACACAGAAGGTAAAAAGTCCGCTCCGCTATATGACAATGAACACGCTTAGCATTTTCAAATGTGGAGGCGTTATACTTCTGACGTCATTCCTGCTATATTTTTTTGACACAAACGCTCATAATTTCTTTTAAATAAAAACAAATATTTATACAAAATTTCTATCTGCTTTTTCAGTGTTTGGAATTTTGTTTGGTCGTTACGTTCGCTAGTGCTAGTGGATTGTTTAATGAATTACCTGGTGTGGTCAAACTATTTCACTTGCCGGTGTACCACTACGTTCCTAAAGTTCTGGTGAAAACAGTCCACGTACCAACCCCTGTTACAGTGGTAAGTCGGTAATATAACTTTCTATATGAAATATTTTTGACGATCAGTCAGTAACAATGGCAACTATTATTCAAAATCATTTCTTATGTATTTTTCCTACATAAGGGTTCCCTGGTGGGTTAGCGATAAGTTTACAACGCTATATCCAGAGTTTGAGTCCCTGCGGGAGACAGAGTGCAGGTAATCTATTGCGCAGCCTTGCACTAAGAAGAAAACAAATAAGAAACCTACATATAAAATATTTATATTATGAATGTCATTTGTTTTTTATATTTTTATATCTGAATGTATCACATTATATAAAGCTGATGATGAGAACCTTCTGTATATTTCAGATTTACTGTAGTAAAGTTTTAATGTACTGTAATAATCTTATATTAGAAGTATAAAACCAAGATCTTTTTAATTTGTAGAAAGCATATTTTACGTATTCAAATGTACAGGATACAGAAGCAAATGTTATTATTTTAAACATACAATAAAGCGACATCTGTTGCGATAGGAACAGCCTCATCCATACTCCTTTAACTTTGGAACCAAAGACGAAGATGGCAGCATTATCACCCGCCAGGAGTCCGGAGACAGAAGTGGAACAGTATCCGGAGATTATGGATACAAAAATACCAACGGTGTCTACCCTCAAGCGCCCCCCAGTAGCATAGCGGTATGTCTCCGGACTTACAACGCTAGAAACCGGGTTTCGATACCCGTGGTGGGCAGAGCACAGATAGCCCTTGTGTAGCTTTGTGCATAATTAAACAAACAAACAAACAAACAAACAAACTACCCTCAAGTTGAGTGCGTAGCTGATGCTGGTGGGTTTCAATGAGTCATCAAGAACAACGAGCCTGGTACCTCCAACGCAAATCCCGCAAGCGTTGAAATCACTGCTGAAGAATCTCCTGTTGTAGATGCAAAGACGGTACCTGCCCCTAAGCCAGCAAAAGAAATCCTATTAGCAGTACATCCTAGCTTTGGGTACGGTTTCCACTTTCCTTTCCCAGTATACAGTATACATGCGCTTCATACTGTTCAATGGTTACCAGGAGTGTATGGTGATGTAGTGTTAAATAAATCTCAATTTATTTGACTGGATATATTCTTAATGACGATTCTGAATGATTTTATTTCATTTACTGATTAGTTTTGAGAGCGTGGAAGAAATTAAAGACGTTTTTGTTTATCGTTTCACATGAAAGTGATGAAAGATAAGCTCATTCATGTGTTCTGTCAAACTCTAGAGTATTCGTCATTGTGAGTGTTTTGTTACAAATTATACTTTGGTTCATCGTTTTTAACTGTTGGTTTATAGTCAGCAGTTATTTTTATTATTTGGTGATGTCTAATTTGATGCTCAACAGATTTCTTGTGTTTGTCATGTAGATTTAAGAAAACTACAACAATTGTATATATTTTTTCATTTACGTGTTGTGTATTTACTACGCTCGTTACCAAAATGTACACATTTATATATGTATATTAGATAACAAAACCAACATCAACATAAAAGTTGGAAGACGGGCTACAGAAGATAACCGAAACATCATCGCCCACAGAGCCTCTTGTCCAGAGGATTAAATACTTCCAAGGCTGTTGGAGTTCATGATTAATATTCTCACTCAACATGAAAGTGTGTTTAGAAATAAAAAACTTCATGATGCATAAATACATATAAAGTCTTATATGGATGAAGTTGTCAATCATTGACCTGACGAAACGTCACATTGTTAGTTAAGATATGGGTTTTGTTATTTAATCGAACATTCCATTTTTCCATATTACAAATAAATGAATAGACTAGATTTATTTTATAATTTAGTTTGGAGTCGATAAAAAGGATGTTTGAAACAGTCAACTAGTTAAAATTAGAACATGTTGAAAAATGTAGGATGTGTTACATTATATACTTTTAACTTTGGAATTAGGTTAACAAGTTAAATGTAATGAGACATTGAACAGTTGTAGTTTTTGCCAACTCATTCTGGTTTTCTATCGTGTAGTAAAATCAGGAATGAACCCGGAAAGATCACAATGACTCAATATATTTATTAAAGTAAACGAGATCAAAAGAAGTTGTTCAGTAAAAAAAAATATAGAAGCGATCGTATACTACACAAATATTAAAAGATTAATGAAAACATTTAAGACAGCACTGATAAACTTATTTGCTTTAAAATGCAAAACCAGTTTGAAAAAAAAAGAATTTTTTTTCATTAGAATAAAGTCAAATCTGAACGAAGATAATAAACTCAAGCAAAGAAAGTTGTGTAATGATAATGGCATTTCGTATTTTTATCCAGAACAGCATCTAAAACAAATAAGAGAAAAACGACTCTATGGAACCACCTTTAATTTAGAAGTGCTGACTAAAGTGAGGGAAACTAGTGAGTAGCATTCGCCGCCTACGTGGCTATTATTAATTAATTTAGTCTGCAGTAATAACACTTTCTATAGTTCATTTCGCAAGTACATATAAATGGTTAATACAAAGTCTATGCTTTATTAATCACGAGGTTTATCAGACCTCAACAAAGGAATTAATTGTATCAAATCTAGAAAAAATCTTACCCTGGTAAACATGACGAAAAAGATGTAAATCTACATTCCAAAATGAAATCGTAACTGGCAACTTTGAAGTCGTTAAGTCTTTGAACATTCTAGAATTCTTCTTGTCTTTATATACAAGTGACGGAAGAATACTTCTAGCTGTGATATGACATCAACGAATAAGAAAACATGACATTTATTAATACCAATTTTAGTAAAAGTAGTCCTAGCTTTCTATTTATCGTTACATCTGAGTGCTTTGATACTCTCCAAATCCAGAATTCTTTACAAAATAAACAAATTGATTGTTTTATGATTAAATTCTTCGATTCATAAAGACTGTGATCAAAACGTGTCTTTGAACTTTATTTTGATAACATATTATTTCTCGTACAGAAAAAAAAACAAAAACGTTACTGACTTTAAATATCAGTTTCTACTCATTGTTTTACAAATAATATTTTCAAATAACGTTGATACTCTTAAACCTGTATTCAATTCGGACTTTTATTAAGCCTATTTTAAAAATTAATGGTGACAATGTCGATTTACATTTTAAGGTTAGAAGCTTCTCATAATAATATTGGTCGTATAACTCTCAATGTAAATGGTCTGGATGTAGTTATATGCAGCTTGTCTTTTTTGACATATTTAAAAGTTTTGTCACATATTATGAAAATAATTTGAACAAGTTGTACACAATGACTACCTAGAAAATTTGGAAACCTACATTAACTGAATAAACATTTGAAAGTAAACCTTCTGAATACATCATCTTTTGGCCCGGCATGGCCAGGTGGTTAGGGCGCTCGACTCGCAATCTAAGGGTCGCGGGATCGAATCCCCGTTACACCAAACATGCTCGCCCTTTCAGCTGTGGGGTCGTTATAATGTGACGGTCAATCCCACTATTCGTTGGTAAAAGAGTAGCCCAAGAGTTGGCGGTGGGTGGTGATGACTAGCTGCCTTCCCTCTAGTCTTACACTGCTAAATTAGGGACGGTTAACGCAGATAGCTCTCGTGTAGCTTTGCGCGAAATTCATAACAAACAAACAAACATCATCTTTTACATAAATATTGTCGGTTTTATCGTTACACACAAACTGCATCTAGCCAGATAGCTGTTTTATACTGGAATAAAAATAGGTGAATCGTTTGTCTTAATCTCACTTCACACTAGTGTTCGAGTAGTAGATGGATTACAAAGTTAACTCTGGTTAATTACAGGATTTGTCTACATGTGAACCCATTCCTGCCACGTACTGAGCAAACTGCATTCGCCAAAAACTGCACAAAGCTAATCCATCTCGTGTTAGGAAGAAGCTGAATATTTGGATGTTGACATACTGTTAAAAATTTTCTGACATGATATAGCATTGATGGCAGTCTCTGCCCTGGGGCTAAGATCTTCTAGGGATAAGCTTATGACATAATTATGCGGCTATAATATTATTTAATAAACGTAATATTAAGGCAAGTCCTAGACAACTTCAAACTCATTATAGTTTAAAACATATTTTGTGTGTATATATATCAAACTTAGTTAACGATGTTTTCATACATAATTTACTATGGATATGTGGTGTGCAGTAATATGCTTTGTTAGGGAAACATAATTGTGAGTTAGTTGGAGCTCTAAGATTAGAAAATGATTTTTAAAGACATTGTTCAGACTGATGACACAGCTTTGGTAGCCCATTGTTCCACGATATCAAATCAAACAAGCTACTCCAGGCTGCTGTAAATTATTTTTTGTCTTGGTGTCACTGCTGACGGCTATCCCTCAATGTTCCTAAGACACGAGCTATTCATTTTGGTCCAACTCGTCATAAGTTTCGCCCTTGCCGTGACCCATCTCTATTTGATGTCCAGGTTGACAATATCCCGATACTCCTTTCCGACTCCGTGATCTATCTAGGCATTGTCTTTGATAAGCATCTTACTTGGAAGCCATACCTATCTGCCCTTTCTGCTAAGGTTATTCGACGTCTTCATCTCTTCTGTTCTCTCACTGGTACCTTCTGGGGCCTGAACCCTCCCCTTCTGCTATACACATACAAGACATTTATCAGACCTTGCTTAACCTATGGACACACAGCCTGGATATCTGCTTCTCTGACCTTCTACTCTCGTCTCGAGGTTTTGGAGCGCCATGTCCTCCAGCTCGCCTTTGGCGTCAAACTCCCTAGTTCCACTTCCGACCTTTATCGCCGTATCAACTTTCCTCACATTCTATTAAACCTTTGACAGCTTCGCACTCGCTATGTTAATAAATGTTTTCGTGACCACAATCTCATCTTCTCCGATGTTCTCGCCACCACTGTACCCACTCCTAGAAGCACTTTTGCACCAGCTGTTCATCTACTGAACCTCTATGTCATGTCCCTCCCAGCTGATAATCCCGACCACGTCGAGATGCCGATGTCCCTTCTTCCCCATTATCTATCCTGATTCATAATACTCGATATACCTGTTGCCAGTTCCCACACAATCTCCATTATATGATATAGACTGGTTAATGTTCACCCATATTTCTCCGGATTGTCTCCTCCATCTGCAAATATCGCGTTTTCCCCATTTTCCGCTTCCTGTGCTGACTTGCACGCTTACCCATCTATTATTCATTTTATCCATTTTTCTTTTTTCTTCCCTTGGCTGACGAGAGAGCGTAATCCTCTACCGACCCACCGGTCCCTCCGGGATCGGAGTGAAATAACGCTTATGTTATTGTTGATATTTAATTGGTGGTAGTGTCCAGGGTTATTGATGAGGAGTGGAATTCTCCGAAACTAGTCTGGCTCACAGACACACCGCCAATGAAAGAATAAACCATTCCAAGCTTTTACTTGTTGTTAAACAAATGTTTAAACAACTCTATTCTATTTTATTATATTTTTTCTCGATAACGAGACTCGAATCAAGAAAACTCGAGTTCACATTCTGACACGCTAATAATTGAGCCGCGCATGTCCCGACTGTAATGCATTTACCAAGAAGAATTTGTAAACTTTTGCCGATATCAATAATATAAGAAGTATTAAATTATTGCAATTTACTTTATAAATTAATTTGCTTATTTCTAAACTGACTCTGACCTAGGAGTGCTTAAGGGTTCAT